CGTCCCCGCCCCCGGCCCGGCCCGGCCCCCTCGGGGTCTGCGCGGGCGGAGTCGGTTGAGCGGCGGGCTGGGCCCCCGGCTGGCCCAAGTCGGTTATTTAAATGTTAAAGGCCTGCCCCGGAGCACCGCTTTCTCAGCAAGCGGGTAGGAAGCTGCGGGACTGCGAGCGCGCCGGGGCCTAGAGGCCGCTCCTGCAGACACAGGCGTGGCCGCCGCCCGCCCGCGGGCCCGCGCCCACCCACCGCCCCCCAGGGCAGCGGCTGTCGTCTAACAGAAGCTGAGCACCCTCCGGAGCCCGCTGCAGACCTGGGCCGTGCAGCTAGCGGGTGCGGTAGGGTCCTGCCGGGAGGTCAGGCCCCATCCCAGCCGAATCGCATCCACTGAGAGCCGATGACCCCCGTGCTCGGGCAGGCTGGTGCCCCCCGCACCCCGCCCTGGGCCGCTGGGGCTGTCCTGGGGCTGAGTCCAGATCAGTCCGAGGAGCCCCTGGGACCCCAGGCTGCCATCTAAAAACCCTCGATCCAACACGAATCCCACACATGCAGCCAGGACACTGGACGGGAATAAGGGGCTCACCCTTGCACCCCTACTCGCATGGTGGAGTAGGCTCAGGCTTCAAGAGAACTAGGACAATTTTCTCAAATACGTTTTCTTTATTCTTAAAATGTGCACAATATTAGTTTACTTAAATACAAAATGTCCACTTCCTTTGCAGGTAAGAAATTCCACTAACATTTCCACGTCAATTGGCTTTTTAATCAAAATATTTTCATTAAAAATAAACATTTAATTACTTCACTATTATATTCATTAGTCTCCATACCTCTTACAATACTTAGAACTTTAGAAAACAGACCTTATGCAGTTCCTATGGGTGGCCCTGGGCCTCGCAGGCCACAGAACAAATGGGCCACTGTGTCAGCCACCTGCCTTCCTGTTCCACTGGTGGCCCCTCAGTGGCAACCCCCACTTCAAAGACCCGTGTGGCAGTGGCCCTCAGCTGCAGAGTCCAGATTCCTGGGAAACACTCAGCCAATGCCATGCAGAGCTGTTTGACTAAGGATTCTCAAGCAAACAGACAACTCAGGACTTCAATATGCCAGGCACTGGGGCTGGGAAGACGGCTCAGAGGCATAAGCACCTGCCTGGCAAGTGCAAGGTCCTGAGTTCGATTCCAGGAAAAATGAAACAAACAAACAAAAAAACCAGTCAGTATACCAGGCACAAAAACCAGTGACCAAGACCAGCTTGTGAGAAGGAAGAAGAATGAAACAGGAGGTGAGGCGGGGCAGCCGGGCCACTCGCTCCCAGAGGTGCCCTGCCCCTCCTCTGCTCTGCTCAGGGGAGCAAGGTAAGCAACGGCTGTCCACACGTCTCACGCTGCAGCAAGGACACTGAGGGGACAGGCTCTTAGTGACACCCATGTAGCCAACCGTTGTTAGGAAACGCGGGAGTATAAAATGTAAAACGGAAAGTGGAAAAGTATTTACAATTATCCCGGCCACACGTGCGTGAGCACCGACAGGCATGCAGATGCAGCTGACCCAGCAGCTTGCCAGACACGCCTCGGGCCCCGCGGGGAAAGGACAGACTCCCTGGAATGTCTGCTTTGCACTGCTTCTGAAGCCTGGGGTGGCAAACTTACCACTAACAGGTTTCAGGTGTTACAGACTGGGTTTCAACTGCTAAATGGCCAAAAGAAACAAAACATACCAACCCAAGGAGCCTGAGGCACCTGTAAAGGCCCTCCCTCTAGGGTCTCCCCAGTGCCGCCTTGGGGCAGGATGACAAAGAACTCAGGAGACCAAGGGGCTGCCATGTAGGCCTCCCATAGACTGCACCCACACTGGCCCTGACAGCCACAGGGGGTGGCCCTCATGTCACTGCCTTTACCCTGGAAGCCCCAAGTTTGCTCCCACGGTCCCCAGGCTCACTCTTAGAAAGCCAAGCTCCCAAACTCCGGCCCTCCCGGCCTGCAGGCAGAGGAGACCAGAGCCCTCCACTGCCCCACCCAAGTGCCCTCAGCCACAGGTCAGGCAGGAACAGCCAAGTGGCTGAAAGGCACTGGTGGCAAAGCTAGGACCTGTGTGCATCTGCTTCAAGGCACCCGGAAGCCACTGCTGCAGCTCTGCTGCGTCACCGTGAGGCCACCTCCAGGAAGTTCTTCCGAGCTGAGAAGCCAGGCCCTGCAGGAGCCTAAGCACAGTCCTGTGGTGGCCTGCGTGCTCTTCCTACCCTCCAAGGGACTGACTCAGGAACTGTGGCTGCTGTGGACAGGGACCAGCACCCAAGGGCCACATGGCAGGGTCCAGGCCCCACACGTCTACAAAACCCCCAATCACAATGCTAAAGCTGCAGGGCATGGGGGCAGGGTGGTCCAGCTCCTCTGGGCTGAGCTGTCTGCCACCCCGGCTGGCAGCTGCTACACGGCGGGGTGGTAGAGTCGAACTTTCCACCGCTTGGAGCGAACTCGGAAGAAGAAGTACATGAGCATCAGGAACAGGGACGAAGCCACATAGAGCACCACGCAGAGGCTCATGTCCAGGCTGGAGAAGCCCAGGCCAAGGAAGGGCGCGGCCTCGGCCTCCTGCCGCCCCCGCGGACTTTGGGCCCTCCTGTCCAGCCTGTGCTGCGGGCTCTCCGAAAGTCTGGTCCTGGGGCTGGGCCCGAGAGGCGGGCGAAGGCTCGCTGCCTGCTGGGGCCCCTGGGGTCTCTCGGGGGCAGTGAGCGCTCTGTCTCCCACCAGCCCCTGGCCCAGGGCCCCCGTGTCTCCGGCGTCCCCCAGGTCCGCAGAGTACATGTCTTCCAGGTTACTGCTGCTGTAGTGCTGCTTCAGGAATGCCAGCACCTGGCCCTCGTGCCAGCTGTCCAGGCCCTTGACTTCCTCGTGGCAGGCGGGGCAGAGGTCTGGAGTGGGCCATGGGACCTTGGGGAACTTGGGGTCTTCGCTCAGCTGGCCTAGGACAAAGGGACAAGGTCACTGTGGGCAGCAGCTCACCCGCCTGCGCCTGGCCTCCGCGCTTCCTCGCTCTCAGGCCCACTGCCTGCACGGCTCTCGGTGGGCTCCTGCGCCTCTGAACCCAGGACAGACCTTGCACACTCACCCTCCAGACCTCGAGCAGCACCCCAGCTCTGCCCCACAAGGGCTCATGGGTGTCTTCTGCCCACCCTTCGAGCCTGCAGCCCCACGGCCCAACCGCTCTGGCTGCTGGGCTGCCATCCTTCCTGTCGCTGTCCCTCTACACTCTGGGTGCCTGGCCTGGTCCCATGAGGATCCTGCAGCTCATTTAGGGGGCCGTGCTGACAGCAGAAGGCTTCAGTGCCCCCAGAGATACCTAGGATAGTGTCAGGGCCAACACTCAGCTAGCACCTCTGTCAGGCTGGGAGGGACTGCAGAACCACCCAGGGAGGTCTACATGCCCCAGGCCTCCCTCCTCCCCCATTTACACTCACAGACAGCAACACTTGGGAGGACGCCGGTGGGCAGGGGCCAGAGATCTGGGCTGCCTTCCCTCACAGGCTGTGGCGGCCCTGGCCTTCTCTCCCTCTGCTAGGTGTGTGGGGGTGCCAGATGGGCCTGGCCCTTTGCTGCTGGGAGGAGACCTGTGTGGATCTGAGATGCCAGTGTCCTGAGGAGGCCGTGTGCACGGGCCGCCCTGGGCAGGAGGTGCAGGCCAGACCCTGGCTCCTAGGCGGGGATGGCAGGAGGCTCCGCAGGGACAGTGCCCGGTGGGGCCCACTGTGGGCGGCTCATGCACCCAGCAGGCCCTCACAGGCCTCTGGGGTGGGGGCGCCCCGGTCGCTGGTGAAGCCTTGAGACTCAGCTGACCAGGACACAGCAAATCCCAGTGACACGAGGAGCTCGGCTGCTCTCCATGCAAAGAACCAATTTTCTTTAGTGCTTTAGCTGTAATATGTTTTCTAATACAGGGATTAAATGGAGACCAGCATTTACTAGCATTACCATTCATCTCTATTAAATTTATTTCTCAGTGGAATTATTTTTAAGCCTAATTTTAATCTGCCATTGATTTTGGAATAGTTTGAATTACTTAACTCCAAGAAAATGTTTGTGTCCTATTTACTTTTTTTAAAAAAACGTATTTAGGGCAGGGTCTCCGAGGTGTACAGGTTCTCACTACGTAGACAGGACTCGTAGTGATTCTGTTTTCAGCCTCCGAAGTGCTGGGATTATAGGCATGCGCCACCACACCCAGTCTCTGTTTACTTTTTTATTGTCTGTCTGTCTGACCTTGGCCCTGGCACAGAATTCAAGTCCTTGTACACCCTAGGCAAGGGCTCTACCATGGAGGTGTTCCCTGGTCTTGTGACAAGACCTTGCTCACGAAATGAGGGCTGCACTTAGACTTTCACCACTCCTGTCTCGGCCTCCCGTGTACCCAAGGTTACAGCAGAGGGCCACCAAGCCAGGCCCCATGCACCTGGGTTCACGAACTCGACGCTTTCCAGGATTCTGGTCACAAACCAGACTGGGCAAGAACCGCACATTTTTCATCCGATTTTGCCCAAGGTTGGGAACCAAGGGACCACGGTGGTCTGAAAACGGATTAAACATCCTCATAGAAAATCCTTTCTGTTTTTCGAGACAGTTTCATGATTCGGTTCTGGTGGCCTTCAACTCACTTTGTAGCCCAGCCCAGCCTCGAACTCATGGCAATCCTTCTGCCTCAGCCTCCCAAGACCTGGGGGTACAGACCTGCGCTGCCACGCCCTGCTGAAAATGGATTCTATCCCAAATTTTACAATATCAAAACGACCAGGGGCCCAGCAGGCTACGAGAGGGTGTGGCAGGGTCAGAAAGACCCTGGTGTGTTGGAACCGGGAGAGTCCAGCTCCGCACAGCAGGCTGCAGCTGGAAAGCGCTGTGGCGGCCTCCTGTCCCTGCCAGCTCGCAGCCCCGCACCTGCCAGGCGGCTGTTCACGGCGTTGTGCCTCCTCCAGAGCCAGAGCACCGCCTGGTCTGCGGTCTTCACGGTGTCCAGGGACTCCACAGCCATCTCCTCAAAGTGCTGGCCGCACTCCTCACACCCAAAGAAGGTGCGCACGTACCTCCGCACGGCCTGCAGCACAGCCTGGGGGTCACCTTCAAACCCTGCAAGAAGGGACACCACTGTCACAGCTGGGCAGGCCCGGGTGTGCCCAGGGCTGCTCCCGTGGCACCCGTGGGCACTGACACGGAGGGCAGGCATGCTGGCACAAGCACAAGAGCGCAGCAAGCAGCACCGTGGCCTGGGGCTCGCGAGCCCCACTGGCCAGCCTCTCGGCTGCCCACAGGAGCCCAACGCCAGAGCGATTCTCCTCTAACGCTGCTGCTTACTCTAGACTCGGATGCCAGGCGAAGACATACAGAACCCGCCCAAGCTGCCAGAGCCCCTCACGGGGCCACTAGGTGGCAGGTGGCCAGGGCTGGTTAATCCCGGTACTCAAGGGAGGCAGAAGGATTCAAAGTCTGAGCTGACCCTGGGAGAGGCAGGGACTTAGCAAGACCCTGCCTGGAAATTAAGCAAAAATGTAAAGGCTTGGGGGGGTTCAGCTCAAAGGCCCTGGGTTCTGTCCCCAATGTGGGGGAATAAACGGTTCAGTGTCCCCAAGTGGGGGGAGCAGACACAGGCAGCAAGCACACAGTGCTTCCAGGAAGCTGCCCTGCGCCACAGGAGGAAGACGCAGCTGGACGCAGCGAGGACCCGGCAGCCACAGCGAGCTGTGTCCCTGCTCAGGTGGGTGTGGGCAAGGGGGCCTTGCGCAGTGCCCCAAGGAAACACCACGGTGATTCCAAAAACCGTCCATCAATGCAGGGAGTGCTTTGGGGTGCCTGGCAGCCCTCCAGGAGTGGGTCCTCCTGCTGTAGCCACCCACAGCCCCAAGGACTCTGCACCCACAGCCTAGGGCCTTGCACCAGGACCTGGCTGGCGTCACTCAGAGAGGATGGCCCTGGCGCCTTGCATCCCCGGCTGGCCCTCAGTGTGCCAGGGCAGCTGGTAGGGTCGGGAGGCACGGGTGCCCCGAGATCTGCAGACATTGGCTTCCCATCATGGTAATCCCCTCCCCCTGGAGCCACCACACCCCCAGACCCTAATCTTTAAAGTGGACAAGAACCCTAAACCCACCTGGGGGATCAGCGCGGCTGCTGGTTTAGTGGTCGGGGTTTAGCGAGCAATAAGGAAAGAAAACCTCCAAGACTTAATCCTCGAGGCCCCGACCTAATTCCAGGCAGAGACTGCACAGACAGAGACGGCGGCACTTGGCGCCGGGAAGAGCGGTGCAGGCTCCAACTGTGGGCTGGGCTGTGCTGCTGCACGCTGGCGTGGGGGCCTCTGTGTGTGCGTGTGCACGTGCAAGGAGGCCCCGGAACACACAACGGGAGCTTCCCCGTCCCCAAGTGTCTCACAGAGATATGGTGGGCTCACAGGCCCACCCAGGCACCAGTGGGCCGAGGACTCCAGGCATGACTGCCCTGATCTAACCTCTGCCCCTCACACTTTTTTTTTTTTCATTTTTTTTAAATGCTTTTTTTTTTTTTTTAACTATTTATTTTTATTTATTACATTTATTGTGTGTGTGTGTGGCCAGCTCAGCCCACCAGGGGGCTGGGCTGGCTGGCATGTGGTGCTGGGGATCGAACTGCGGTCCCTGTGCTTTGCCAAGCTTGTTTCAAGTAGGTGCTTTAGACCACTGAGCCATCTCTCCAGCCCCTGCCCCTCACACTTCTAACGTCCTCGTCCCTCAGGGCCACGGCACCAAGAGCTTCTGCGTCTAGGGAGGAGGTCCCTACAGCTTCCCTGAGTCTGAGGACAGCCCATGGCAGCCCGGCGGTGTGAATGGCTCCTCTCCTGCTGGCAAGCGGACTCTACGTCCCAGGCCTGGAAATGGCTGAGGGACTTCCCGGCCTGGCTGTGTGGAGGGAAGTGGAGCGGAGTGGTAGGGGCAGAGTGGGATCCGGAATCCCCCCATGCTGAGCAAAGAGTGCACAACGGGCAAAGGTGACCACCAAGGCTCCATGACACCACTGAAAAGGTTGTGGGTGGTGAGTCACACAGTCCACTCAGCCTTGCATAAATGCTACTGAATAAAAAGATAAGCGCGGAGCAGAGAGACAGGCGGCCACCCCCCGGCTGGCCTTGAGCTTGCAATCTTCCTGCCTTAGCCTACCAAGTACCTGGGACTACGCACTTGCACCGCTGTGCCTGGTCAGGTTTTAGTTTTTAACCACTTACGCAGGCAGGCCCTAGGTCCAGCCCAACCTGGAGCCCCCACGCTTGGGCTCCACCGGGAGCAGCGGCCTGTGCCTCACTTCCGCTGAGCGGAGGCTGCAGAATGGAGTGGTGTCATTCCAGCCCTGCTCCCTCTCCTGTGGGCTCCGTCTGGTACCACAAAAGACCAGTAGGGCCCAAGGGAACTGGAGGGGATCCCCAGGAGGCGCCCCTAGTTGGTGGCAGGCCCCACCCAGATGCTGAGAAGCCAAAGTCGTGGCTCCAGGCTGCTAGGCTGGGGGTGGTCTGCTAGGCCACAGTGGCAGCTGACATGCCCTGTGCTCACCACTTAGATTTCCTAAGCAGACAAAGGGCAATTCCTGGCCAGCATCCCATCCTGTGAGAACACGGGGTGAGGAGGTGGGTTCACACCGCTGCACATGCGCCACACACCCGTGGACACCGCGCCACCTCTGCAGGGCCACTTACCTGTGCCGGCCAGCGCCTCTGGGTGGCTGGAGGCTTGGACAGTCAGGGTGTGGAAGAGCTTCCAGAGGGAACACGGGTAGCCCCTCAACTCCGGGCGGCTGCCTTGACAGCCCACCCACCGCACATGGTTGGTGAGGAAGATCCCAGAAATCTGGGGAAAGGCAAAGAGCACGAGACACTTTCAGAACTGGAGAGCACTGTGGACGCCTCCACCCGGCAGGGCTACCCAGAACTGCGGACCCAGTGGAGAGGGATGGCCATCTGCTGAAGTTCCTCCTAAATCGCACAGGCGGACCGCTCTCTCCATCACAGTCCGGAGGGACGGGCTGCCTGTGTCTCGACACACCAGCCTCACACACAGAAGAGACCCCTGCTTGCCTTTTAAATTAGGCTTAATTACAAGGAAGCATTCCGGGGAAAAGCAGCATGGTGCGACTGTCCTCAGCTGCGGGCGTTCGCGGCAGGAGCGGGTACCTTCCAGCAGTGAGCTCAGGAGCAGAAGTGCCGTGAGCCATCACTCACACACAGTCACTCAGTCCCCATGGACACGGGCCCCAGCACTCCCGAGGCACCGGGCTGGCACTGAAGAGGCCTGGGGTGGGACATGTGCACCTGCTCTTCTTAGGCTTCTACAGCAGAGCTCCAGAACGACAGTGGGACAAAGGCCCCTCCCTCAGCGCCGCTCTGGAAGGCCAGGGCACAGGGTTGCTGGGGTGGGCGCAGCACGTGAAGCCATGGGCCAGACCGCGCCGTCCCATCTGGGTGAAGTAAGTGTCCTCTGAGGAGAAGCCAACCACAGCCCAGCGCCTGCCTGAGACACGGGTGTGCCCTGGTGTGTGTGTGTGTGGGGGGGGGGGACACGGCCTGGCCAGGGCCCGACCTCAGAGGGCCTGCCAGAGCCAGGGTAGTGCACAGCGAGGCGCCAGCAGCGAGGCCAAGCGTGGCACACACAGGCAAGTGCGGCTTCCTGGCCCCTCAGACTCAGTCCCGTGACCAGAAGCGGGAGGAGGTCAGGCAGGGACAGGCGCACAGGGCACGGGCTCACCCGCATTTTGTTGTTGACCAGGTCCAGGACAGCGTTGTAGGGGATCCGGTCCAGGGGCAATGTGGCCAGCCACTCCTGCAGTGTCCCCAGGAGCTTCCTGACAGGTGGCCGGCCAGGGAACAGCTGTGGGAGGAGGACGTACCTGAGACAGTCAGGGGCCCGCGGCTGGGTCTGGGGTCCACAGAGGAGGTGTGGCGCCACCAGACAGCGCCAGCGCCACACAGCCTCAGAAACACCCCAGCCCGGCTCCCTAGGCTGGCGCTCCAGCAGAACCAGGGTCCTCCGGCAGGTGGTAGAAACTGAGGCGCAGCCCAGGTGCCTGGGCCTGGCTGACACCACGAGGCCACTACATGGTGACAGACTTCACTGTGTGGCTCACCACCAAGGAGGCAGCCCTCTCTCTCTGCAAGGACCTGTGGCCCAACGCTGTGCTTGCTACACCTCAGAACCACAGCTGCATGGACCTCAGCTGCCCAGGCTGCGGCCCAAGGCCCAAGGCCAGCAGCACAGCGCCTCCACCCAGTGAAGTACGTGCTTCCACCTACACGGGCCGCAAGTGCTGCTGTACACTTGCCAGCACTACACCTGCCCTCGGACAGCAAGCAGACCGGAGCGGCCATGTGCAGCCATGCGCTGTCCTGCCGTAAGCAGCACCGCCCTCACACGGCTCAGCCTTGAGTGCCACAGTGGCAGCATGGAGGGCTGGGTCGCCCTGCCTCCCGCCTCAGCACTGAGTCCAGGAAGGATTCCCTGCATGGCCTCCAGGGGACTGCGGGCTTCCAGGTCCTCTGCACAAGGCCTGCCCACAGGGCAGCACCCCCACCTGTGACCACTCCTTGCTGACCCTGCAGGGCCTTCACACATCTCGCCTGGGGTGTGAAGCTGGGAGGCCTCCCTCATCCCCTCTGCCCCCACGCCAGAGCTCTTGGAGCCCCCCCCCCCCGCCCGACATGGGCTCCCACCCGTTGGGTACACAAGGACACCTGTGCAGACCTAGGCCTCAGGAAGGGATGTCTCCCTCAAGAGCCCCACACCATCACACCACGCATGCCCGCTGTGCACAGAGCCCGCCAGCACCCTCAGCCAGGGCTGCCACACCTTGGCAACAACAGTCACAAAGTCCCGGAGGGTCTTCAGCTCAGCTCCAGCCAGCGACCTGTGGGCAGCCAGCTCCACCCGCAGCAGATAGTGCAGCCCCGACTCCAGGTCGGCCGTGTACAGCTTGGCCCTGGGAGGAATCGGGAGTCAGGAGCCGCCCCTGGCACTGCAGCCCTGTACCCCAAGGGGTGTCAGGGGTGACTGGCAACAGGCAGGCAGTCACTTGACTCAAGGCATGCCCTGGCCAGGCTCCCAGGAACACTTGCCTGTCGAATTCTCTCCAAACCACAATTTCCGTGTTTTCTTCTTTGTTGGACTTTTCAGGCAAGGAAACTGATTTTTTCCTTACGTCTGGCAATGACTTCAAGTAAGAGGAAAAAAAGGATCGGAGAGGCTTCGCACTGTGGGGAAGAAGAGGAAAGGTGGGGATGCCCCTCTAGGCGCCGCTGTGACCTGCCACTAGGGCATCTGCCTGGTGGGCTGAGGCGACAGTCACCCCAAGCACAGCTGAGGGTGCCCAGCCCACCCCAACACCTGCACTCAGCAGGGCGGGGGGCAGCGGTGGCGGGGGTGGCAATGGGCCCGTCCGCCAAATCCATAGCTAATCTGAGTTGTGGTGCAGTAAGCGCCAGGCTCATCTGTGTGTGGGGACCCAAAGATGTCTGCAAAGCTGGCTTGAGCATCTGCCAAGATGAGCTTTGCCCCAACCGCGATCACCCAGCCTGCGAACCCTGGCCCCCGCTTGCAGCAATCTGCCCACTCAGCAGGTGGCGGCGGCCCCTGCAGAGCTCACTGCGCAGAAAGCCGGGCAGGCAGGGAGCACGAGGCTACAGCTCCTGCGGCTCCACCTCCTCCTGAAGCCTCAGGTCCTCACCTACCCACTCCCCTGTATCATGCCTTCCACCCTACTGCATCCCTGTCCAGGCCCAGCTGCAGGGCAAAGGTCGTACCCAGTTCCCTCATCCTGAAGCCAACAGGCCCAGGGGGGACGGGTGGGCAGCTCCGCACTGGGGTCTGCTACTCTGAATCCCTGGAGAACCCAGCCCAGACAATGAGCACCTGGAGCCTGGCTGCATCAGAATACCCTGGGGAGGCAGCCCCGGCCCAGGGCTCCCTCAGACTCAGTCCACTCCAGGAAGTCAGCAGGTGCGGAATTCTGCAACCCCACTCTGCACCACCACAATGCACTCACACATGAACCAGACCGTGGGAGCCGTTGGGGTGCAGCAAGTAGCAGGAGGGCAGCGAAGCCACCCCGAGCTGCTCCAGCACAGCCTTGTCCCCATCCAGCACTCTGCGCACCACGATGTTCTCGTATGGAATCAGGTCCAAGATCACCTGTGCCAACAAGGGAAGCATGTTACCCGCTGAGGACGGCAGCGAGCTCAGAAACCCCCCCCCCTTGCAGGGCACCTGGCTGGCAGGACACAAAGCCCAAAGCACCAGGCTGCAGATGGCAGTGCCAGCACTCACACCTTAGTCACGCACACTGCATTTTACGGCAACTACCTGGACGAGGGTCCAGTGGCACAAACGTCAACCACACCGACTTCCTAGGCTAGTCCAGCGAACACCAATTAGGACTTACTCTCTCTTTTGAGCATGGGCTCCCAGGGGGCAGCCCTGCACCCAGCACCACCCCACACAGCAGCTCTTCCCAGAAGGCCTGGCTGAGAGGTGGAGGTGGCAGAGACCCCCAGAGCAGGACGCCCCACAACCAGCTGTACTGCAGCCTGCTGGGGTCCCCCTACAAACAGCGCTCACCTGCCTCAACTGCCAGGGCTGAGGCGCACTGCAGGGCCTTGGTGGCAGAGGGATGTAGCAGTGGCATCTGGGGTTCCCCAAACCACCTGCCCCCCACAGACACCAGAGCCAGGGCAGCAAGGTGTGGGCAGCAACTACCCTTAGAAAGAGGCGGCCACAGTCCTACTCTCTAGGGGAACACTCACCCTAGATTTCTTTGCCACAGACCCGTGACTTGGCAGGAAAAGAAACCATGAGCCCAAGAACTCAAGCCAAGAGCCACTGCTGCCAGGCGCTCACACCCCCCAACCCACAGTGGCTGAGCCCCAGGGCGTACCTCTCGTCCCACGTAGGAGCTGTTGCCTTCAAACAGCACAGCCACATAGTGGCTGCCACGTCTGCCGAGGAGGGCGAGCACATCCTTGGGCCTTGTGGGAGAGAAGAGGAGTTGTCAGGGCCCTGGGAGTCAGCTGCCATCCCGTGCCAGCCCGCTCTCCACTCGCACACGTGGATGCCCCCAGCCTGCGCCTCGCGGGCCAATGCAGCGGCTACTCACGTGCTTGGATCCAGAGCCGGGCAGGCCGGTGGCCGGTGGCCCTCCGTGTGGTTCTGCAGGAAGTCGATCATTGCCCACCTGACCGTGCGCAGCTCCCTGTCAGGCCCTGCCAGAGCAGCCCATCACTGCCACGCGTGGGCCTGCCCGAGCCCCTGCCCCCAGGGCCCTGCACTGAGGCAGCCACAGGGCAGGAGGGGCAGCCCAGCCCAGCCACTGCCTGCACCCACACCACGAAGGGCGCTGCAGGTGCCTCTGTGTGCCACCCGAGGGCCGCTGCCCTCCAGGCCTTGACTCGGCCCTGCCTGCCTCAAGTCCATCAGCTGCACCCGAGCTGCTGATGGACTGCTCCGAACCCTGCCTCAGCCAGCGTGGGCGCTCACACCAGGGCTCCATGGGCTGAGGCAGGGGGAGCCCTGCATGGGCTACAGAGCTCAAGGCCAGCCCAAACTACATAGTGAGGCTTGACGCAAAAAATGATTTTTCAATACAAAAATTTACTTTTTTCTTTCAGTGGTACTGGACAGTGAACTCATGACCCTGCACTCGCCAGGCAGGCACTGTGCCGCTGAGCCATACCCCTGGCCTAAAAATTTACTTTAAAGCTGAGTGTGGTGGTGCATGCCTGTCACCCCAGGCCTCTGGGAGGCTCAAGCATGATGATTTCAAGTTGGAGACCAGCCTGGGCAACCTGGTGAGACCTGTCTCAAAATAAGAATAAAGCAAGGCCCCCAAGAGCACCCTCAGCGAGCATGGTGCTGACGTGAAGAAGGCCACGCAGCCCAGGTGCACGGCCTGGCCCCATGTCCCCACACCAGCCTGATTTCACAATGAACATTTTACTGTGACACGCAAAAATATAAAATAAAATATAAGAAAAAAAGGCTGGCAATGGAGCCAGCATAAAGGCTCCAACATGCACACGCACACACATGCACACTGCAAAAGGAAAACCTCCAAGAAAGAGAAAGGAAATTCTCGCTGGCACTGTGCAGGTCTGAACTCCGAACAGACAGGCAGGCGCAAACAAGCCCAGCGCCCTGTCTGCTTCACAGAGAGGTGCCGGGCTCAGGGAGGCAGCACGGGCTGCTGGTCCTTACCTCTATAATTTTCTCCCGTTGTAAATTCCTTCGTAAATGCTTTAAAATACTAGAGAAAAAAAAACACACACACACAACAAATAAGCAACAGCTGGAGAGGTCCGCATGCGCCTGGAACACAACCAGCATCTGGATGCCTGGGCTGCCGTCCGGCTCCGCGACACTCGGAGTGCCGAGGTCAGGCCACACCTCCGGCTCTGCGGGTGCCAGTGACCCTGCCGGGTTTGCAGCGGGCAGATGAGCACCCCCAGGATTCTGCTATCCACATTTCCTAACGGGGTGGGGGGCTGCAAAGAGCAGTACCCCCTCGATTCTCGGCACCAGAGTCTATGCAGGCAGTGACCACCCGAGGCCGACAGGGAGCACGAGTCGCCGCCGAGCGTCAGAGGACGAGGTGGTCTCCACTAGATCTGGCACTGTCTCCGCAGGTAGTGGAGACACGGGTGAGCTGGGCCGAGCTGCCGAGCCCAGAATTTACAAAGGACCCTGCAAAGCTGTTGGAAAGGGACCAGCACTCTAGGAAGGAGTGGACAGATGGCGCCAGCAGACGCTTCAGCCCAAGGGACACCACGAGCCGCCAGCAGGCAGCACAGGCTGAGTGCAGCGTGCACCCCAGGTGCTACCCACCTGCTGAGCCCCAGAGCGACAGCATCAGCACCTGGACATCCCAAGTGGGCAGTGCTCACCGCACCACAGCACCACACATGGGACCAGGGCCACTTAGGCAACACTGTGTGACCCGCACATGACATGAAGAGAGAAAACAAAATAGGAAAACATCTGCTGCTACCAAACTAGGCCAAGAAGGCAAGGAAGGAGCCCAAGGGCCAAGCGGCCACGGGCCTGGCACCATGCAGAGCAGCACACGCCGGCTGGGCAGAGGGTGCTGGGAAGGTGGCCCTCAGGCACAAGGCGCTGGGTGTCGTGGGCTCCTCAGGGAGGACCCCAAAGGCACCACGTGCTTCTGGAGAAGCCCGGTCCTACATCGGCAGTGGCAAGCAAGTGGCCGGGCTGCAGGCACAAGGGACCACACGGGAACCTGGACAGGGCTCAAGCTCCCTCCGCCCCCTAGTGGGAGAAGTGGGAATGGCCTTGTCTGTGGAGTGAGAGTGGGGTGACACCTCCAGCCCTGCCACCCCAGGCAGCAGATGTGACACCAGTAGGGCTTGCTGGTTGCGGATACACAGGTGCTCACAGGCAGCATGGGCTGGTGCTAGGGCTTGTGTCTGGGTGTCCCCCCAGAGCCTCTGGCAGTCCCGGGGCGGACTCGGATGGCCCGGGATTGATTCATGGTCCAGTGCTGGCTTCTGGGTGTGAGCACTACACTGGCGCTGGGGCAGGCAGCCTGTGTATAACGTAAGGGAGGGAGAGAGGCTGGGTCTCTTGCTCCTCCTTTTTGCTCTTGATGTTCTCGCTGGTTCCCACCACTATGACCTGTTGCCCTTGGCCCTGTGCCACCATGCCTGCATCCAGCTGAGTACAGACTGAAACTTCCACAAGACGTGAGCTAAAAGAACTGTTCCTCCCGGGGCTGGGGAGATGGCTCAGTGGAATAAGCACTTGCCTGGCAAGTGCAAGGGCCTGAGTTCAACCCCCAGTTTCACCAAAAAACAAAAAACAAAAAACAAAAAAAACCAGAAAACCAAAAAACTGTTCCTCCCAAATTTTTGGTATCAGGCATTTTGTCCCAGCAAGGAGAGAAAAGTAACTGAGACAGCTGTGCGGGCTGCAGGGCCCCGCAGGTGACGTGTGCGTGGGGACCACCACACCCCCCCTCAGCCTCTGCACTGGACAGTGTGGATGGGGCCTTGCCGGGGGTGTGGGCAGGCGCTTCTTGCAGCAGCACAGGGAGAACACACAGGAAGAAGCAGGAGACACCAGTGAGAAGCTCCAGGTAAAAGCAGTCCTGGTGAGAACTGGGGCAGGCCGGCCGGGAAGTCCACCACATCCCTCTGGCTGAGATCACCCTGCTGCTTTGCCCGGGGGTGGGGGGGGTGGGCACGACATACCCGGAAGGTGGGGTAGAAGTGGATGTCATAGGTGCGACACACCTCCTGATTCTTTTCTTCTGCACAATCCAGGGCGGCGACGCGGATGGCAGCGGCCCAGTCTGAAAAGCAGAAGTGAGACCTTCAGCCTGGGATGCTGCATGTCTGGGGCTGGCGAAGGGCACTGAGCACCCAGCCAAAGCACCCTGGAGTCACCCTGTGGCCAGGAAAGGGGAGCAGCGTCTCCACCAGAGGCTGGACGCGTCCCCCACCATGGAGGACAACAGAACCCTCGAGCTCCTGCTGAAGGTGAAAATTGCCCAGCAGCTGCAGTACCACCCACTCCTAACTGAGTGACCCTGATGCCTGATACGTAGGGAGAGAAATGGCTGTGGGGCGCATACAGCAGGACACCCACGCACAAGCCTTGCAGTCACCCCCTACACACACACGCTCACCCCCAGTGTGTACCTGAATGCTCACAACACCGGCGACCCCAGCCCAGACAGCCCCTCGGCTGGGCTGCTTCTGTCATCCTCAGCGGTAGGAAAGGAGCACCTTGCATGTTTCCTCCTACCTCTAGCTTTAATTGCAGCAAACTCTAAACAAGAGATACAACCAAGGTGCCCTGTGCTCCTGGGCTCTGCACCTTGCATCGGGCCTGCCATTCTGCCTGCTCTCCACCCCCAGGCCAGCACCCCAGGATTTCAGGGATGTGCACACCCGCCTAAATGCACAGGCCCCGCTCCAAGTGCAAGGCTCTGAGGTCACCAGCACGCTGCCTGTCACAGCACAGCATGTGTACTCTCAACCCACAGAAAACCCAGGAAGATGGTGATGGCCCTGTCCCTTCATGTGGCTTATACTGTTTGAGTCAGGACCCCGGCGAGGCCACTGCCCTGGCCCACATACCTGTCCCTGCTGCTCTGACCCACTGGCAGCACCCATGCCCGGCTCTCCGGCCCACAGGGCCGAGAGCCATGTCCTTGTGAGGTTCTTCTGCTCAGACTGTTCTGGAGCTTCCACCAGGAGGCAAGCAGCCCTGGCTGCCTCTCCAGTGACCACCACCAAAGTGCATGCTTCTTGGGGACAGTAGCCAGTGGGGTGTCCCTGTCCCCAGCCTCTTCAGATAGGTACCAGCACAGCGCACAGCAAAGGTGTGCAGATGAGGTGTCCCAGGCCTGCCCTCCATCCCCACCATTGGAAGGTAACAGGCTGGGTGTTCCCCAGCGGCAGAGCTCTGGCCTGCAGTCCTTTCAAGCGTTCCTGGGCCCCTAACTTCACAGGTAATGCGGTTACAGAGCAAGTTGACTTCTTCCACGTGGAAGCCCAGCCTCAGGGCTCACACGTGCTTCTGGCCCAGCCCTGCGCGTCTCTTCTCTAAGCCCACAAGGGAGAAAGGCACAGTAAAGCCGTCAGAGGGCACAGGCCTCGGGCTCTGGGCTCAGGTCCCCGTGGCCAGGCACCAAAGGATGGGGCAACTTCCAGCCCCTTCCTGAGCTGCTGCCTCCCGAGTGCAGAACTCACAGCTGTCGCCACCAGGGACCGGCAAGCCCCAGCAAGGTGGCTGTAGTCACATCCGGAAGGCGGGAGGCACCCCTACTGCCGCCTTCACCTTCCCCAAGTCCGGTCACCAACGGGCTGGGCTCGTGGCTGGTGTGAGAGGCCCGGGCTCCACCACCAGCACCAAAAGGGGGCAGAGAGGACAAAGCCACTTCTTTCAAACTATGAGCAAACACAACATGCACCTACATGAGACCAACTGTGTCCCAAGGCCATGTAGGTGTGTGGACTCCACAGTCACAGGCCACGTTTCCTGGAGTCTCGAATTGCACACAAGGAGAGGAGCAGTTAATGCCCCTGGCCGATTCGCAGGGCAGCTGGGAGCACTCTGTGCGCAGCGCTCCGGGCCCTCCCCAGGGCTGCTCGCAGCTCCGCGGCAGCGGCCTCCTCTGCCGTCCCCTCAGGGCCTCCCAGCCCTGGCTCCGGCCCCTCCTGCTGTTCCCCAAGGCTTCCACAGTTGCCCCTCACCCTGGCAGCTCTTGCTGAATCATTTTACCTAGTGCTAGGGATGGAATCCAGTGCTTCTGAATGTTCGGCACTTTACCACTGAGCTACAACCCCATTCTATTGTAGCTTTCACTTTATTGATTAATTGATTGATTGGCTTTTTTTGCAGAACACAGGGACTGAACTCAGACCCTTGCGCTTGCCAGGCAAGCACTTATTCTACTGAGCCATCTCCCTGGCCCTGTTGACTGGCTTTCTGACACAGGACTTCACTTATGTAGTCCCAGCTGGTCAGAGATAGCCCAGGTGAACCCACAATGATCCTTCTGCCTCAGCCTCCCACAGCACCACACGCGGCTACCGCACCTTTCTACTGAAAACGAAGGCAAGAACGTGAAAACCTGCTCCAGGACCACCCAGGGCACAAGTGGCCACCTTAGCGACGGCGCGGGGAGGTGGTGGCCAGGATGCTCCTGCCATGCTCAGGCATATGGGGCCTAACCTTCTGTCCCTCGGGCTATCCTTCAGCACGTGACACTGCCTGTGGGGACAGCTCGGAGGTCTCCACCTTCTGGAGTCCCCGCTGCGCTCCCAACAGCCCCTGGAGCCGCTGCACAGGAGGCGGCTATGGTGGGCATCTCTCCCTAAGCAGCCACAGCGCCCTGATTCCACGGCAGGGACACCTGGGCACGGTGTTCAGGGCCGAGGAGCTGAGATCATGAGACGCACGGCCCACCTACTTCTAACAGCCGCAGTCCCGCCTCCATCAGAGCAAGGGCCAGGCTGCCTCTGCTCACCCCACCCAAGGGCCCAAGTACACCAGCGACCCACCGGCCGCACTGTGCGTGTGGTACTGGCAGGCAGAGTCCTCGGCCCACACAGCCCTACGGTGGGAATGTCAGGGCTCCTGCTCCGCAGCTCGGATGCTACAGGCGCAGGTGCAGGCCCCACAAGGCGGGGGCCACAAGGAATCAGAACTCTCCTGCCCAGGACCACCAGGGTGACGGGCACGCTGTGGCTGCGCAAGGCAGACCCCACGCCTCCCCCTGCTCTCCCCTCTGAGCACCAGGCCCCACTTCCTAAGCCTGTGACAATGCTACAGTCATGGATGACCATTCCCCTGCCCAGGTGCCACCAGGACTGAAGAGGATGATGCACACCATACCAGCCCTGCTGTCCCAGCCCCGGCCCTGGTCCCATTCCGGCCTCTGCAAACCAGGGATCCTCCCTCTGTCCTGCTCCTGTCGTGTCGCCCCAGAACTGGGGATGTCCCCCTCTGCCCTGCTCCTGAGAACCAGTGTGCTGCCTCCATGGGCATAGGGGAGGCCGGATGCCCAGGCCCCCAGGTAAACTCATGGCGCCATGTGTGGGTGTGTAGCCTTCCCCTTGCCAGAGTCCCACTGACAAGGGAGATTCCTCTCCTGCACACCCCCAGGGTGCAGTGGTGGAATCGGCCAGAAGAACGCAGCTCAACAGATGCAAGAAGCCCCAGCTGTGGTGCAGTGACAACTGGCGGGCCACCTGTAACACCCAGCTGAACCGAGCCAGTGTGGTGCTGGGTGTGGAGGGCCCCCGAGGGTCGCTGCTGGCAGCGAAGAGGCGGCACTGGGGGAGGGTGGTGCACCGCTGATCCTCCTGGAGAAGCTGTCACACTGGTTTTCCTGACGTGATGACGGCTGTTCTCATCATCAGAGGAGCTCAGGACCCGTCACTGAGGGCGGCTCTGGTCCTTCCTTCGAGTGTCGCCTCCTGGCTCCAGTGCAGATCCTTAGCTGCTGGCACAGAGCCTTCGTCCCCCTGGTACAGACCTTTGGGCCTTCCCAGCACAGACCTTGATACAGTCTTGCATGAGACATTGTCATGGGCTGTGGGCCTCCAGCTGGACTCATGGAGGGCACTGCCGTGGGCTCTAGGCCTCCAGCTGGACTCATGGGGGACACTGCCGTGAGCTCGAGGCCTCCAGCTGGACTCATGGGGGACACTGCCGTGAGCTCTAGGCCTCCAGCAGGACTCATGGAGGGCACTGCCGTGAGCTCTAGGCCTCCAGCTGGACTCGTGGGGGGCACTGCCGTGGGCTCGAGGCCTCCAGCTGGACTCATGAAGGACATTGTCGTGGGCTCTAGGCCTCCAGCTGGACTCATGGGGGGCACTGCCGTGGGCTCTAGGCCTCCAGCTGGACTCATG